GCGGGGGGCGCGGAGAGGCGGGGACTCGGGGCCCCGGGACTCCACTCGCTTCCTCCGCGGGTGAAAGTGGAGTGGCCCCGGAGGGCCGGCGCGGGCCTGGCTTTGGCCCGCCGCTCTCCGCTCGGGGAGTTGACATTTGGTCGGAGTGTCGCGGCGCTCCCCGAGACCCCGCCGGCGGGAGGAGGAGGGGGCGGAGGAGGGTGGAGACTGCGGGGCTTGGCCAAGGAAGGCGCACATCCTCGGGCGGGCGGGCGGGCGGTCGTGACGCGGCGGGGATTAACTTTACATGAATAATGTGAGTGCGCGCCGAGAGGAGACCTTCGGCTCCGGGCTGGGGCCAGCGCCCGCAGGCTGCCTTCCCCGGGCGCGGGCGCCCGACCCGACCGGCTCCAGGGCGCTGGTAATTGGGCGAGAAGACGGCGGGGCGGGAGGGCGGGCGCGGAGGCACGGAGGGCTGGGGTGGGAGAGGGGGTGGGGGATAAGGGGTAAAAGGGGGCGACCGGTCCATTGCGACTGTCCGGCGGGGTGGGCGGGATGGGGACGCGTGCGGCGGGAGCCCCGAGGGGGTGGCGGGCGGAGACGCCGGGCGCGCGTGGGTGGCGGGGGGGTGTCACCTCCGTACCTATCTCCGCGTGGGGTGCTGCACCCCGGCTCTGGGAGACGGCAGCCGCTCTCGTGCCGTGACGGCAGACAGCCTGGCATGGGCAGCCCCTGGAGCACAGTGCCCAGGGTCCGTCCCCCCCCCCCCCGCCGCTCCCCTCGCCCGCCCCACTCCGCGACCCCCCAGCTCCGATCGCAGTGACTCTGTGCCTCCAACCCCCGGAGCCTAGTTGTTGACAGGCTCCTTGGGAAATGGAGTTTGGCATCTTCAGCGCCGCGGAACCCAGTGGAAGTTTCCATGAGAAGGAAGTTGTGTGACACACGGGGGTTCGGAAAAGGTTGGCTGGCACGGCGGGGTTGGAGAGTGGGGGGGGGGCGCAGTTTAAAGGGACTGTGAGTCTCCGGTCTCCTGTGTTTGCCCACTGCCCCTGGCATCTCCAGGGGTTTGGAAAGGGGAATTCGCCTGGCTGCGGGGTGGGTGGGTGGGTGCTGCGGCCGGAGCTTCCTGGGCTTCTCCGAGCCGTCTCCGGAGTCGCGCTCCTTCTCCTGGGGCAGCATCTTCCTGGGGGCGCCTCCAGCCCCGCGGGGCACCCTCCCGACTCTTCGGGCCACGACTCACCTGGGAGAATTGTGTTTGTCTGTTTTTTATTCCTAGTGGTTTTCGTCCTTCTTAGTTGGAGTCGTCATTTTGGAGGACGATTTCCCAATAACCACTGTCGGATTATTATGGGAGCTAATTCTTAAGCCTTCTGATTTGTCTTAAGGAGGGGGGTGGGGCTAGAGTTGTTTGTTTTCATTAAAGGCTAAATGTCTGATTTCCACCACCACCCCCCCCAAGTGGGAATTCTTAAAGAAGGGCCTAGAAGCATGTATGAAATGAGTTAAAGAGAGTTACCTGAACAGCCAGGTTCTGACAACTAGTTCCTGTTCTCTTCACACACTGAGAAACCGCGACCGTTTCCAACACCTAGGCCAGTCAGTGAATGGGCTAGAAATTCTCACTCAGTTTGTTATTGATCTTAGGTACGAGTGGGATTCAGTTTTTTTTTTTAAAAGAAAAAGCTGGAGAAATTAACTATTCTTTTAATAGTGTATGAGACAAGACCAGCAGTTTCTTTAGTGATAAATATATTAGGTAACAGAGACCTGTTGGGCAATATCTTTTTTACGATTTGGCCTTTAGTTAGTAATGCTAGTGTATCCTGTAATATGTTGCATACATTGTGTGGCAAAGGAATAAAAAGTGCATTTCAGTGAAAAGGTTCCATGATTTATTTTGAATATTCATGGTAACTGATCTGACTCCCTAATTCACTTCGGTTAATTATTTCTAGTTCTGATAAGAAAGTCCTAAGCTGGCATATACTAATGTAAAAAACATGTCTCAATGGGAATTATTTTGAGCAGTGGATGACTTTTAAGATGTTTTCATGACACTTGGTTGTGTTTCAATTGGTCCAAAGTGCTATTCCATCGTAAGTGATTTGTTTGGTGTCATTCTATGTGAATGGATTTAGTGGCCATCGATTTATTATTTGTATATCTTAAAACAGATCAATCAAAAAATCATTTTTAGTTAATTTTGAAAGGTTATATATTAGAAGTGGAAACATCTGCTAGTAAATATAGCTTGGCTTTATGAGTGAAAGTAGATGATGCTGAACATAGCACATGAAGCAATTCCTGTTGGTATAACAATGCAAAGGCATAATTTTGTTGATATTTGGAGAACGTCATATAAAGTCACTGACTTTATGAAGAGGAATAAAATCTCCATCTCCTGTCTTTTAGGGTTCTTTTTTCTTTTATAGCAGATTCTGCTATCAATAGAGATGAATTAATAGACTTTTCTTTTGAGCCAGAATCTTTGGGAAAATGATAAGTTAAAAAAATCTCCTGGAAAGGGAGAAAGTTAAGGATTTCACCTGCAGTTGCTGGAATCATGTGTGGAGCCACTAGTCCAGTTATATGTTTCTTTTTTTAGTAAGCTCATCTTTTTGATGGAAATCAGAGTAAAGCTGATTGGTTTCTTTAGCTCCTTCTTCTCATTGTAGTGTAAGATGATATAGCACCTTCTTAGAAAGCCCTTCCCTGACCACTGGAGCAAGGGCTATCTCTTATTCTTTTTCAGAAAGGCTGCACTGGTTTTTCTTTGTTTGTCCTTTTTCTTTCCTATTTACAATGTGAATTGTTCTTTTAAGTTGGCAATCATTAATTACCTTAACAATCCTCCTTATTAGAAAATGGAGTCAGTGAAAAAAATGGAGTCTTGACTGACTCCTTCACTAATAATTTCTGTGGAAGAGCTCTTGACACACAGCAGGTGCCTCTTCTGGGTAAAGCTTCATTGAATGTACTAATAGTTGTATCCAAACACTATGTTCTTCAAAACACCTGAGCATCATTAGTTGGTGCCAATGGGTTATGACAACATTTGCAGTATGTGTGTGCATGCATACAACCCCGTGTATGTGGCTCAAAATCAATATCTCTTCTCTCACTCTCTGTCATCTCTATTGTTCATTAACAAACTCAGCAATAGGCTCACCATTCTGGGTAGTGACAGTGTAGAGGGCTATTTCTACAAGTTCCTTTTGGAATATTTGACGTGAGTACATAGAAATACTCAACAGTAGAGCTGTCATATGTGTCCACTTGATTGCCTAAAGACATTGACCTTAAGCTCCCTGAAATTTCAGTGGCATCTTTATTTGTTTCAGAGGTATTGTCAGTACTAAGAGTGAAATTCCAGAAACCAGACATCACTGGGTGATAGCAATGACTTCTCACTCAGCAGGTCTTGGCAGTCCCTCTGGCTTTGGCAGTTCTAAAGAGACCAAGGGCATACGGTGGTTGAGTTTAGGCTGTCAAAATGGTGGTTGTAGAGGGCAAACATGGGACCCAAAATTAGATAGAAATAGTTCTTGATAGTATGCTTGAGAATAACCTGTTACCCTATGTTGTAAGTGAAACCAGATAAACTTTTCTCTTTTTTCCTACAATGTATGTTCATAGACACATTCTAGATCAGATGATTGTGAGAACTACTGCATTTTCTGAGTCTTTAGGTCACAGAGTATGGTACCTAAGGGATCAATCATCTTTATATTATTGTACATGAAAAGTCTTGCCAATTGAAAAATGAAAGGAGATTATAACTGATATTTATGGAAATTTGTTTTTGTTTAGAGAGACAGCTTTCAGAATTGTCTGAGTAAATGCAGAGTAAATGCAGAGAGACAGCTTTCAGAATTGTCTGAGTAAATGTCAGGCACCCATAACTCATGCTTATAATGCTAGCTAGTCAAGAGGTTGATATCTGAGAATTGCAGTTCAAATCCATGAGACTCTTATCTCCAATAAACTACTGAGAAAGCCATAAGCAGAGCTGTGGCTCAAGTTGTAGAGTACTACCCTTGAGCAAAAACACTCACGGACAACACACAGGTCCTGAGAGTTCAAGCTCTAGTACTGGCACACATACAAAAAAAATCCCACAAAACAATGAGACTGTTGAAAGTGTAAAGAGAAGATGAACATCTTAGAGAAGAAGGAAAATAACAGTAAAATCATAAGTACTTACTGCTTATTTATTTAGCTGTGAATCTCATTGTAGCCAACCTCACAGAAAATAAGAAATGTAGGGGTGGTATGTAGGATAGTGATTAGTATTGATCATGTAACACATGCAGAGTACTTGCTGTGGTGCCTGGCAGCTAATATACATTCATATGAAATATCTAATCATATTATGGACAACAATACTCCAATAGAAAATAAAGTATGTCTTTAACCAGTACTCACAGGAGGAGAGAATCTTTTTCTCTGCTAAAGGCCATTTGGAAATTTATATCATTCAAGGACCATACAGAGTTATCAGTGCCCAAAGGGGAGCCATGGACAGCTAACAAGAAGCATCACTGGGAGCATTTGTGTTTGTCCTGTCATTTTTCAGGCCACACATTCTGTACCCTTGCTCCAGTGGGGGAAAAAAAAAACTGTGGAGAGCTTTGTGAAGAAAAGCATCCCAATGTGAGTTTATCTCTGGGGGCCTGGGCTACTGTGGTCCAGTGGTAGAGTTTTGGCAATGGTCCTGGATGCTGAAATAGAGCTCAGAAAACCTAGAGGAATGAATGGCTAACATGTCCTTTAAGCTAACTTTCTCGGATATCTAGTGTGTCAGCCAGGCTTTTGGGTAGAGCAATCTGAGAGGACAGGAGAGCCAAGTACTTGAAAATGACTCTATAGCGACAGACTTCCCTGAACAAGTGGCCCTGATGTTTTTGCTTTAGTCTGCAGAGCTCTTTCCCCATTTCCATGTCTGCCCCACCTCTGAATTGTAATGGGAGGTGGGCTGTTGTGTGGGTTTACTCATTCTTGACACCCCACTAAGTACCTAGTCGAAAGTTTGGCATGAACACAGTTGAAACTTGTTGGAAGAAATGATAGCTGGGGGAGAAGAGGTAGCGCTTCTGTTTTTCCTCCCTGTACTGGGTGCCTTCTAATTTTGTTTTGCCCAGAATGAATGTTTGCTGCCTGGATTGCATCATGAGTCCAGATTGCTGACTGTTTTACTAGAAGGGCTCATACTAGTGTCAAAGATGGTTGAGCAATGCAGGGCTAGTTAACTCCTTGCTTGGTTTAAAGTCATCTTGATGCTTTGCTGTGATTTTTCATTCCATGTACAGCTATTTGGGAGCCTACTATGTGCTAAAGCTTTACTAGGCACTTTGTGGTTTAGTGTATAGCCATGAGAAGGGGTAATAGATTTGTAAGACCAAGGGACTCTACATGCTCTCC